TCTGTGCTTCTTGATAAGGCAGACTGGAATTTAAATATTTAAGCATTTGGGATAATTCTGAATGGAGTTTGCCCTTAGAGGAGTGAGGGATTCACTTCCGAGATGGAATCCTAGGATAGCTGAATGCTCTTATTTTCAAAAAGAGATTTACATCTCTATTTGAAATGACTCAAATAAGAGCTGAAATGATAGAAAGCAGTAAGTAGTCTGAAAGGTAAGGGCAGGGGCGGGGGGAGGGGAGGGGGGGGAGTGGGGAGAAGAAGCCCTCAGTTATGGTCACAGTCATTCAGAGGTTTTACATCTGGCAATGTACCTTTGTTTATACCAACAGAAGCCCCCAGGAGAATACAGCACACAGAATCCACAGGAAGAATTTGGTCATACTTTTCAAAGTAGTTTAGTTTTCAAAAATCCACCTTCCCTAAAGGAAAAAACACCTTGAGAACCAATTAGTGGAATGAAGGGCCAGGAGAAAAAGATCCTGCTCTGGTAGAAAGATTATTTTGTTGATTTCAGGTAAAAACCTAGGGCCAGATGCTAAAGCTGGATGTTCCCCATGCTTATCTCCCCTTGCCCCAGGGATATGCAGTCTGTTACATTTGTATCTTCTGAACAGGGACAGGAACAAAGTCTCAAAACAATTTTTGTAAAACATAATCTTGAATCACAGAACAGGTGGCAATTTTCCGAGGAGTAACAGTGGATTACTGGGACAGCAGAAAGAAAATAGAATAATTCTTTCCTCCTTCCTTCTTTTCTTTTTTCCTTCCTCCCTCCCTTTCTCCCTCCTTCCTTCCCTTCCCTTATTTTCTTTACTTTTTTTTTTTTTTCTAGTTAATCAGATTTCTTGTGAGCAACCCTCAGGCCTCTACCCTTTAGACTGCAAAAAGTAAACAAGACAAATGGGTACTAAACATTCACAATAAGGCTAAATTCATGATTGATGCCTCTTCCTGTTTAAGATCTGCTATAAATATGTTGTCCAATGGTTTCTAATGGTGTGATTGTCTGATCAGCAGACCAGTGTCAGGAAAGAAATTTACATAAATGAAAAGTAAAATCTTTCTGCAAGAAACAGGACTGTTAGAAACTGCTTAGGTAAGGAGATGCTCACTTTCACAAACATGGATATTAAACATATTAAACCAGCTCGCCAAATCTGCTTGAACTTAAGTTATTGCCCATAAGAAAGCTAAGACGCTTGCTTTTAATTTCCAAAAATTCATTTCAGTTTCAATTTTACTTGGAATAAATTCTGCAATCAGAGCTGTCATTAGCAATAAGAATGATATCAAGCTGGTGTCCACAAACAGGACTAAGACTCATCTTCAAACACAACACATGCTTAGATGGCTTGGCTAAGAATGACAAGCATGATGCCAGATAATTCCAGGGCAACAGCCTCTGATCTCTAGGAATATGAATGGATCAGATGACAGAGCATTCATCGCAGGGCAGCAGAGTACATGATTTGATGTCGGACTGCCTTGGTTCAAACCTTTGTTAAAGCACTTTGACTATGTGCCCATAAGCCTTATATGGAGAGGCACCAACCTGCAATTTCCCTTTGATGAAATGACATGATAATCCAGGGTGAATGTAAAGAATACAATTAGAGGAGCCACCTGAAATACTTCTCATGCTGTCCAGCATATAGCGGCACTAAGAACAATGAACGTTATTTGCTGTTGCTGCTGTTATTACTATTATTGTTCTTCTGCTCCTGGTTATGCATTTCTTTGCCAGATTGAAGAGTCTAATAGACGGATGATAGGCATAATCAATTCTTCACCCTTCTCTGTGCCCAAGTCTTTGTAACAGCTTCACTGTGGGTGGACTGTGTTTCTCCGCACCTTAGACTGACCTTGGATTCAACCATATTGCTGTTTTGACCAATGGGGGTGGGGGTGGTATGTGTGTGTGTGTGTATGTGCGTGTGTGTGTGTGGTGACAGTGAGCCAGTTTGGAGCCCGGAATGTATGAGGCTTCACCCATTGCTACTGGCCTTCTGACACCTCATAACATGAAAAGAACATGCTGTTGCTAGCCTGCTGCTCCAAGACCCAGGTGAGATACAGGTAGCATACTCAGACTTGTGACCTACAGGGTGACAGAGAGACACTAGCCTGAATCTGAATTCTTGTTGGTGCCCTAGAGAGTCATGAGGGAAATAAAGGCTTACTGAGGTACATTAACTAAAATTTGGTTATTATTTATTATGCGACAAAAGCTAACTGATCCAAGGAGTGTATTAACAAACTGTCTATTCACAATGCATTTCTTATTTCCTAAGGAAAAAGACATTAGCTTAGTTATCTAGGTCTGAAACTAAAGTGGAATGGTAAGTGCAAGAAGAAAAATGCTTGAACAAAGCCAAGAATCTAGGACCATGGGTGTTCCTGTAAACCCTAACTAGGCCTTCTTGGCTTTTGTGTGGGAGATGCCACCCATTATTAATATTGAGATTATTTTTAAATGGCTAAGATTAATTGAAAGTTTATTATAGGCACTGTGCTACGTAGGCACTTTATATATCTTGTCTCTTTTTGTCCTCACAGGAGCACCAGGAGGTAGGCAATACTAATTTCACTTCTTTTTACAAATGAGACATACTAAGGACAAGTAACCTGCCCACATTCATGGGGGTGAACATCGTTCAGACAGGATTCAAGCTCAGGAAGTCTCATGTACAGTATGAGGTGACAATGACTGTGAGGACAGCTGATGGGGAGCACTTTGCTGCTTTAATTACATTGTGTGTATAAGTTTATTTAATCCTTAGAACTCTATGAATTAGGTATTATTTATTATCCTCATTGTACAGATGAGGAAATGGGAGGTTAGCAGGTCAAGTTCCTTGGCCACATTTGCACATGCCTAGCAAATGGCAGGGTTGGATCTGAACCCAGGCAGTTTAGAAAACCAGTACATTATACTATGTTAGCAGTTATGATCACACTTCCAAGTCAATGTTAAAAGGCAGAATCTTTCTTTTTCTTTTTGAAATTTATAAGCTCTCCAAGTTCAAAGGCAAATGTGCATTCCCAGCACCATGGTTATCTTCAAGTGTATAAAATATGATAAACGACCTTTAGTTTATATTACAATCATTCTCAGGTTCCACTGAGCTTTCTTTCTTGCAAGCACAATTTTCTCATTTGCTGCCTTTACACTGATTTATTTTTAGTTTTGTTTTTCTAATTGTGTGTTTTTAGGCTCAACTCTGTCAGGTTACAAATTCGGAGTAATTCTAACAGTAATAAAAAAATGCAAGAAAAAATATTAATCATGATGGGTTTTTAGAACTATCTTTAGGAAATAAAATCAACCATTTAAAATAAGAAAACAGACCACTGATGCTCAGATATGTTCACACACACACTTCCTGAATCAGGCAGGAAAGCCTCTGTGTCCTCGAGCCTTCAGGTACTTTCTCCATCCAGTCCTCAAGCACGACAGCCTCATCTCTAAGTACCTTCTCACTGATGTGCAACCATCATTCCTACTCACCTTAAAAGCAGCACCTCCATGGATGATGGATTTGATGAAAATCCCCAAGTCTGTTCCAGTCTCTCGAGATTTGTTCCCTTTCAAGCTCACACCAAGACCAGCAGAACCAGAATCATTCAGGGGGATCTCAAAGGTAAGTTGCTCAGTTGTTTCCAGGGAGAGAGCATAGCAGTCAGGTTCTCCTTTCTGCTGGGAAGAGCGCAAAGAGTGAAGGGAAGAAAGCAGATTAACATTTACACACTCAGATGGCCAAACGCAGACACACTTGGCAAGACAGGCTGAATGGACCTCTAACAGCCGTAATCCTGTTCCCAGTAGGCACAGGCTAGTCTTTTCTCACTGTAGGGGACGAACACCACATCCATGGAGGGGCAGGAGAGTTTTGGGGAATAATTCTTGGTGACGGTCAACGGAGGGGATCCTTTGGCAAGGTAGAGTCATGTCGTTTGAAACATTGCATAAGTATTTAGAAATTCAGCGGAATATTCTCGATAATTAAAGGGGCTGGATGTTAGTCATGGGGAGTCTTAAGTACCAGAAAGGGCCTTAGAGGTAGTGTGGTTGTAACACCTTCATTTTACAGATGAAGAAACAGAGCTTAGTGTAGAAACATGCTAAAATTGTGAGAAGATATTTGGCTCATATAATTTAAAATATATCATTACCATGAAAGCAATGCTATCGATAAAGATTACCAATAGAATACAGAGCATTGAAAACATAAAATTTTATTTTAAAGTTAGAAAGATGTGATTTCTAATGGGTATCACTGAATTAAATCTCACTTTGTTAAAACTCAGGCCTTAAGCATGCTTCTTGGGTAGTATAACTCACTAGCAATCAGTTTTTGAACCTAAACAAAAAAGATAATGTACAGCAAATGTTCATGTCCTCTTTGACAAATGATACCTTGCCACGAGAATAGTTGCTCTAAAAAAATACAGAGTATGGTGGCAAAAGGCACACGCAGGGTTCAGCTACCCAGGAAGAAGCCTGTGGCTAATCACAGTTGGTCCCTAGTGTTTTCAAATATAGAGTAGCGGGAATCGGAAAGTGCTGTCCACGTGATAAACTTCGTAGGTGCCCCTTCTGCATCCCTCTCAAGCTTGCAGAAATGTGAACCTTTGCCACAGTTTTAACTGAAAAATTTGAAACCATCAACTCATTCTAGGTTGGTAATTCCTTGCCCTCTGCAATTATGTCTGGAGACTCTCATCTTAAGGTCACTTTGAGGGACTCTTATGTAAAATTACATATTTTAAAAAATCACGGTGAATGTCTGAATGTCAGTCACAAGATAACAACGATAAAATCAGCAGTAGCAGAGCACCCATAACTAACACAGGATTAGGAGGTCTGATCATAGAACCACCGACGTGGCATTTTCAACTGCTACCAAAATAGAAAAAAACCCATGTCTAACTTTAAAGAAATAGTTCCTTCATTTTATTTCATTGCAAATGAAGTTAGCTGTAAATATTTTAACAATAGGTAGTTTCAAAGAAATGAAACTTTATTGTTTAATTTAATAAACTTATTACAGGTTAGTTTCTTATAACTCATTACATTATTATCTAAGAGAAAATTCCCATTAGTTGACTTAAACTAGCTGTCTTTTTTCCAATGGAATGGCAGAGTTAAATACTAAATGTTAAGTATTAGCCTTCAGCTTTGTCTTCCAAAATGCCCTATTTAGAATCCATAACATTTCATAATCATTTACGTTTCCAGCCCTCTCTGGGATTTGGTTAATTTCAGTCTAATTAAGTTCTACTGAATTAAAGTATAAATTAAAGAACAGCTGTTCTTACTAGAAGTTTCAGAATACCAGTTTAGAGAAAGACTAGAAAACTTACCCAGCTTTTTTCTACCAGAGACAAAGTGACACGAGGACAAAGTTTTGCTTGAGTGATACACTCAAACCACTTTATTTTATAATTAAATCAGGTTGTTGGGGGGCAACTGTTTAATTCTTAATAAGATCGATGAGTATTTGTACTAATACTTTTCATTTACTATATAAGTGGTAAAAACAAAATAGAAGGCAGATGATATTATGGTTATCTTTTGATTTTGCCCTTAAAATTGATCTTTTTTAAGTCCCTGATATCTGAGAGCCAACAATAACAACAAAAACAAACTAGTGGCTAACAACGATTGACTGGTTCTGTTTTAAGTGCTTACACATATCAATATACTTACTTTTCACAATACCCCTTTGAGGATTAATATCATGCTTATTTACAGATGAGGAGACTGAGGTACACAACATTTGTAAGTATCATGTGTGCATGTGTGTAAATACCATGCTTGCTGTCCATAAGACCTGTCAGTGCTGGAGCTTTGTGGAATCCAGGCAGTGTGGTTCCTGTGCCAGACTCTTAGATGCTACTTCTGTGAACCACCATCACTTGGTCTCGCCACAAAAATCCCAAGCCAAATTCCTACTGTGACAGTAAGATGCCATGCAATTTCACATTCTCCACCCAGTTACAGATGTTTTATATCCTTCTTAGGCTATACCGGGCTCAAGCCATAATTGGTGGTCTCTAATAATAGCAAACTTTCCAGTGGTGAAGGAAGCCATAACAGTAGTTAACGTAGCCATTTCCTCTGTTAGAAATAAATGTCCCTTTACCTAATGTACGGAAAAATCAATATGCTAAATGTCTTCCTCCAATAATCTTGGCTCAACTAGTAACTCTGAAAATTAAGCTCAAATCTTGACAGACAACTGTCTACAACAGGATAGAAAGAAGTATAAAGTCCTCACAAGTGCCCCAAATGCCGAATCTTAGTAATAAGATGATCCCAAAGGCAGCAGCACATCCAGACCCCAGATCCTCCCTGGATTTCTGTTCTTTGAACAAGAGCTTTTCCCAGTGTCAGGAGTGTCCCTTGCTTTTTCTACCCAAGACATCTGGTGGGGGAAAAAAAAAAAAAAATCCAAAGAGACAAGCCTGGCACAGTAAGGGAAATCTTGTGAATTTCATTTATTTATTTTTTGGGTCTTTTTATTATCTCATATACTTTACCACTACATACCATGTCTCTAGACGGAAAGTCCTTCAGGTTTCTAGAGCCGGTCCCAGGATGGATGCTCAGATGCCCCAACTGCATATGCCTATGCCTAATTCCCTAGCCCCTGCCCTGAGCCAGCCTTGGAAGATCTTCAACGAAGGCTTTCTCAGCCTCAGTGCAACTAGTAGTCGGGGCCTGATAATTCTTTGTTGTGAGGGACTGCCCTATGCATTGTAGGATGTTTCGCAGAATCCCTGCTACTGCTCGTTATATGCCAGTAGTACCACCTTTTCCAGTTTTGACAACCAAAAATGCCTTCAGACATTGCCAAAAATCTCCTGGGGTCAAAATCGTCTCCAGTTGAGAACCACAGCCCTGAATTAACAACTGCCAAATGCAGTCAAGGTTAAGGCAGTGGGAGTCCAGAGAGGCATTTGGGACCATAGCGTTGGCTGTCCATATGTTCCCAAGTCCCAGGAAGGTGTGGCACTAAAAGGCCCTGTAATTGACTAGGTCTCAGGCTCGCAGTTTCATGACTAATCACTTAGTTGGGCAGAATGAACTACTAGGGAATTCTGCACTTAGTTACGTCTCTGATTATATGGCAGTTAATTTTCCAAGGCAGAAATGTGGCATGAACAGAGTAGGAAAAATGATAAATATTAAATTTAATAGTATGTAGTCAAAATGCTGCCTTTTACTTACATAAAAATCCAAAAGAAAAATGCAGCCTATCAAGTAATGTTTGTTAGGTTAGTTATGCTTATGTATACTTGATTTTTTATTCTTCTTTTTTATGAGTCACAATTATGTAAAATAGTATTGACACAAAGACTTTTAATCATGTGAGAACATGATATGAAATTAAGCACAAAAACTTATGTGTATAGTATATTTCAGTTATGTAACACACACTGTATATACTCAGATACCTACCCAACAACCTATTACCTACCTGCCTCTCACCCAGTCTTATCTATTTTTATAGGAAGAAAAATCTCAGTTATCTACTGGCACTGGAATACAAATGATTGTTTTCTTCTTTATAATTTTTCTGTTTTCCAAACATTTCTCAATCATTATAATATTTATAAAAGGAACTTATATAAGAACCATTTGCTATATTATTGTACTACCAACTGGTAAACACATCTCTATAATGGCAGGCACACACTTTTATACACGTATACATATTCTAATACCATATATACTTTTTATAATATATATACCCATAGTAGTATGTGCGCTATATATATTCTTTAAAACTACATATAATATCCATATATATTCTATAACTATATATGTGTGTATATGTGTGCATGTGTGTGTATGCAGTATATTTATAACTCCTCTTAGAATCACCGACGACCTCCATGTTGCTAAATACGACGGCCAATTCTCGCCTTTCACTTTTCTTGTTCTATAGTAGCATTAGACTCAATTGCTCAAGACACTACTTCTTGAAATACTTTCTCTTCTTGATTCCAGGACATCACTCTTTGATAGTTCACCTTCTATTTCACTGTCTACTCTTTGCAGATTCTTTCTCATCTCTAAACACTAGAGTCCTAGAAATCAATCAGCTGAGTTTTGATGTTCTCTCCCATTCTCACTTCCTAAGTTACCTCATTTAATTTCATAGTGTTAAATATCATTTACACTCATAAGCCATAAATTCATATCTCTACTCCTCTCACCTAAACTATAGATGGATATAACCAATTTTCTAGCGATCAAGTCCCTTAAGGATTTTACCTTGAAATTATCATGGCCAAATAGATCATCCCTTAAACTCGTTCCCCCTGAACAAGTTAATGGCAACTGTATTCTTCCAGACATTCAAGCAAGAGACCTCGGTGCCATCCTTATCTCACATTCCATGTCTAGCCCAGCAACAACTCCTTTCAGCTCTACTGTAAAACACGCACAGAACCCTACAACTCTAACTAACCACCTCCCCCACTGCTTCTCACCTGATCTCTCTGCTTCTGCTTCTGCTTTTCTCCTCTTCAAGCTATTCCTCCACATGGCAGCCAAAATGGTCCTATTAAAACAAATACCCAGAACCTTCTAATGACATCCTGCCTCATTTGGAGAAAAAACCAGAGTCCTTAACAAACTCTGTGCTGCAAACTCTGCATAAGCTGAGTAACCTGACTCTCCTC